TCCTGCGGTCAGGCACCACTGCCATCAGGTTGAAGCGAATGTCATGGTACGGCTCACTGAAAAAGAGCAGAGCGGTAGCGTGAGAATGAAGCCTTGAGGGTGTGTGTGTGTGTAGAAGGTGAACCACTGCTGCTTGAGCTGACAGGCTCGGGACTCACCCAGCAGTAGCCAGTCCAATCCTCTCCATGATAACACGCCGAGCTTTATCAGTCCATTCCTCCTCCTCTCCCCAGGGCCCTAAAATACAGTGAAATATTATACTTATTTAATATTTAATTTCCAAATAAATGTTTAACAACTGCAGCAATTGAAATCATTAAATTGTTATTTGAAAAGATGACAGTCAATTTTCTTGCTCGTTTTAGGAAAAGCACTACTCTGTGTATGGGGCTGTGAGAGCCAAATGCTTTGTCCCTTTTGTTTTTATACAATGAAGAATGAGGATATACCTGATTTTAAGGATATACACTGGATTAAAAATGGCTTAAAAGGATAATGATGAAACGTAACAAATTAAAGTGGTTCCGTGGCAGCAGAAATGTTACAAATCAGTGTGACAAGAACAGGACAGTGTATTTCTATGTCAGCGTGTAGTCATACCATGGTCAATGGGGTAAGCCTTGAGCCCGTCAAGCTCAAAGAGGCGGTCTTTGATGGGCACATAGCTAACAAAGTGGAAGGCTTCCATGGTCCGCACTGCACTGATCCCATTCTGCTTCTCCGGCAGGTGCCTGGGCTCCGGTCTCCATAGAAACACAGAAAGAGAGCTTGAGAAACTGATGAATTCACAAAGCCTGACATCTCCCACAGTATGGTAGACAAGTCACAGAGGATTTTTTTTTTTTTTTTCACAGAATCAGAGACACCTGAAAATTGAAAAAGGAACCACTGACTGTAACATACCTGGCATGGCTGTTATGTGCTGTGGCAAGCTCTGGGGCATTTCCTATTGCGTAACCTTTACTCTGAAAAATACATTTAAAAAATTAAATGTGAAAGTGGGAGAGGAGGAGGGAGAGAGAGATTACAACGTGTCTGACTGTGACCAAGAAGGTGACTGTAGACATACATGAGTTTGTGAAACATCTTACCTCTGGACTAAAGCCTTTTGTGAAAGCCTTCATGCGACTGAGGGTGGTGCCGAGCTCAACGCCACTGCAGTTCAACAGCACACTCAACAAAGCGTGGGTGGCACATGAATTTGGTATCAGCTAGATACAAAAATGACAGCATAAACCCAAGTCCAAGTTAGAATATGCATTATATATTTGTTCTTGTGCATTATTACAAGATATGAATACACAGGTAAGGATTTGGAAGGAGGCTGTAAGGAGCTACATTTCTTAGAACATCTACTTTGTTGAGGAAAAGTGTCAAATACTTACCTTGTTCTGTGGCACTTGTGGTTGGATTTAAAGTTTTACATATGTTAGGATGACTTTACATCCTTTCATTATTACTGTGTATTTTGATCTGTGTTTTTGCATACATTTAATTTTAAGCTTTGTATTGCAAGGATAGTCTTTGTTTATTCTATTATGACATTTTTTGTATTATGGTAGTCCTAAAATATAATACATTCAGATTTTTTAGAATTGTTTTATTAACTTTATTTTAGGTATTATTGTAAACATGTCGGCTCCAGGCCCCCCACAACTCTTTAAACACTGAGCGGGTACAGCTAAAGGATGTATACATATACAGAAATTATACATATTACAGGATGTGAAAACACACAAAAAACTGCTAGTAAGAAGCACCACAATTTGCTGCCTTTTACACAATTTTATACAATTCATAAAAATAATACATGTGGCTAAAATAAGACAGCAATTTTAACGAATGACTTTGAGGCCTAATAAGTTATGAATTACATTTGACATTATTTTTTGCTCCTTGAATTAATAAATAATGACTGAATGAACGAATGCTGAAACAATTGTTATCTAATGTGCTGTTAAATTGGTATTTAGTCTTTGAATGAGATTTCTCAGGAGCATCGTATTTACATTATAGACAGCACTATTATCTATAAGACAGCTCTTAGGAGATCTGACATACATTTTATGAGTTAAAATACAGATCAGTTGCTCACTAATAAAAAAGACTTACAAAAAGACTTACCTGATGAGCAAAGAACATATCATTTACAATTTCCTCATCAATGACAGAGGTCTCATCCACCAAAGTGTTAACTTTCCTCCTGGATCGACGTTCCTCAATCCACTTGAACAGGAAGATGAAGCCATAGACAGGACTAAAACATAAAATGATGTTAAATACTTTTTACATGTTGTTGCTACAGGCCAACAAGGTGCAAGAAAAAGAGCATTGTTTATATTCACACTTGAGCTTGGACATCACTACCTGACATACCTTTGCAGATAGTTATATTCTGGATTTACCAAACACAAGTTACATACCTTTGACACTTGCTTTGAAGATCATAGATTTCCTCTACTTGGACGCCTTTGACACCTACAGAAAGAAACATTTGAATTGGTTTTCTTAGCCCCAGTTAGTTATTCACACTGCAGCACTGAGTGGTTTAGCTACTGTATAAGAGCTACTCACCAAAGTCTTCCACCAGCAAAGTGAACAGCCCTGAAATTAAAAAACACTTTATTGAGGGTTTATTAACTCACTAAAGACCCGTATATTACTTTGATAATAGCGTTATTCCTCCTCATTTCCCGCCCCCAGTTACTCGCCCCGTCGACTTGCACAATACACACCAACATTGAACCGTATTGTAATGTCGTACAGCCTTAAAGATGCTCTCTAAAGTCTAATAAGTCACGCTGCTTATGGAAGCTAAACTGTGCCTCTGACTTCATGTGGAAGCTAACATTAGTTAGCAGCGTTATCTGTCGACATTTCTCACCTGGATCACTCTCGAGCTCCAGCCACCCTTTGTTCATGGTTGCATTTGCGCACAGTTGACTGATATTTAAGATGTCTTCCAGTCCATGTTGAAAAGAGGGGTAACAATATTCAACGATAAGACTCTCTCCATTCACGAAACAACTGTGGCAGATAAACACAATGGACAGGGTTGGCCGCATACAAACCGCGTCATCAAGAATCGACGGGTGGTCGCAAAAAAAACAGTCCTACCTTCAACTTCCTGTTGTCACAACAAAGTGCAAAACAACGAATGAATGGAAAATCTGTCAATCGATAAAGACTTACGTCAATATTTTTGTTTATTAAGTGCACATTTTTATTTAATTGTCATGACATCTACTTAAAACGATACCCATTTTTAACAGGGAGGCTGCTATTATTTTATACAAATTATGTTATTATTGCTTTATTAATATTAGTAAACAGCAACGTTACTAGACACGAAATGTTTATTAATATAATAATGGAATCGTTTTGTAGGAATATACGGTATTTTATTATATTATATTAATAGTGGTTAGGAAGAAGTTACCAGTAGTTTGTTTTGTCTTTTTAGAATTTAGCTAGTTTACAAAAAAAAAAAAAAGGGGGCAAAATAAACTGTAAACATTAAAGGTAAACAGTTAATTTTATTCTTGTTTTTTATTTGTTCATCACCGGGCTGTTTCCCTCCCAGAACCTTTGTTGAAGCAGCCTCTACGGGGAATGTATTTATGGTCACACTGGAAGAAAAAAAAAAAAATTGTAAATGAGCAGCGTTTATTTGTTCACACTGTTCGTATTCATGGAGTGATTGTTGTCTGCACCGCGGGGTTTCTCGAAGAGTACAGCGTAGCCGCGTACAAGGTGAGCCCCGACGACCGACCGACGTTTGAGTTTCACCCAACCGAGTCTGAGCTTTGTTGTAATTCAGGCTAGCATTAGCTCCCTGAACGTTACACCTACACAATATGAGATTGTTATCTTGCTACGACGGGCGACAGAAACAGTGAAACCTGGCGAGAAAAAGCTGCTTTTTTCTTTCAGCCCCGAGTTACCGCCGGTCGTCCTGTTCTCCTGCCGGCTCACACAACATGAACGTATTGGCAGCTCCGCGGTTTCAGCGGCTGAGTTTGTCGTTTATTGTTGTGTAATTAGCTAGCATGTTGGTGTGCTGACTCAGCCGGAGAGGCGGCAGTGTTTATGTGCATTCAGTTAGATAGCCCGATGAGACGACTAACGACAGATGTTTGTTGTTGTTGTTAATCAACACCAACAACGCCGTGATAACCGATGAGCTGCACAAGTAGCTTCGTGCTACTCGTTAGCTTCGCCTCCGCTCTCGGCTCCAACAACCACTGGGTGGATGTGGGTCACCTCGTGTTTAAACGTAAACTTTGAAGTTTTAACATTACATTCTGCACTGAACAATGCCACATTCTTGCTCTATTGTGGACTGAGATTGAGAGTGTGGTTTACTTACTTAACCTTACTGTGTGAGTAATGTAGGAACAATTGCCTAATTTATATAAAGCGCAAAATAATCACAGACATTAGGTCCGCAGTCTTAACCTCACCAAGTGCTTTCAGTGTAAAGATGGATCCATTTAGTTATGGTGGTTGCAGTGTTGCCTGGATTTGCTTTTCTGTACATGCTGGTCAAATTAGTAAGGACTAAAATGCAGCATGTGTTGCCATATTTGGGGTTAAATTTAAAGAAAATATTGATGTTTTATTATTGTTCACATATTAGCAGCATCACCAAATTATCCTTTCATCATCTCAGGAATATTTTAAACATTTTTCCATACCTTTGTCAGCCTGAAGTCTGTTATGAATAGTGTGTCCCATAGTGCTGCCCTCCCTCTGTGGGGTCATGGCTTTATTAAAGCTAGGTTGTAGTTAGCAATTCTTCTTTTACTTAATGCAACGAGCAACTGTCATAATCACTTAACAATGCAACTATTTAATCAAGCAATCATTAGCTGGTTGTTAAATATCGTTGTCAGATAACGAGGTATTTTCATTTTATTGTAAAGTTGTGATGTGTTTTTATCTTTTAGGGCTCCTGATGAAGGTGTGTAGGTAATACTTTTAAAGCCTTGTAAGACGCCATGTCTGAAGAGGCGCTTTCAGAAAGTGACCTGGAGCCCAGCCTTAACAGTGAAGAGGAGTATTTGGAAAATGAGGAGGAGGAAGAGGAGGACATGGAGGACATGGACGAGGATGAGGATGAAAATGATGGAGACGATGAAGACGACAGTGTCGGTGAGTGACAAAATCAACGTGTGCCTCTTATTCATACAAAATAATTCATGTTGTTGAGTTAATGACGTATCTCTCTCTCAAGAACGACCTGCAAGTGCCCAGAGCAGGACAGAAACAGCCCAGGATGGCAGGGACTCCACTTCAGCTACCTCCGGAGAGCCATCCTCAGAGCCTCCGTCTCGGCCCGCTTCCCGCACATCTTCCAGGTCTCCCTCCAGACCTGCCTCCCGCTCTGCAACCAGCCCGGAAAACTCAAGCCAGAGCAAGCCACACTCTGGCAAAACAAAGAAACAAAAAGCCTCTAAGTTAACCAAATCCTCCAAGTCTTCAAAAGGCTCCAAACTTTCCAAGCCATCTAAGCCTGCACACATGAGGAAGAATATCAGGTACACGTATCTGTTTGATATGTTCCCTCCGGTAAATTAGATAATGTACTTTCATGTTTGTTTTTGACTGAACTTTTTCCTGATGCTTACAGGAAGCTGCTGAAAGAGGATCAGCTGGAGGCTGGGACCAAGGCTGCTCAACAGGAGGAGATGGAGAGGCGGAAACGTCTGGAGCAGCAGAGGAAGGACTTCCCTACACCAGCCCCAACTGTCCCAGACTCTCAGCTAGGTGACTGTCCCTCTTTCAGTGAAGCGGCACCTTTTGCAGTTATAATTAAGTTTGACTTTTTTGTGTATCCTAAATCTCCCACTACCTTCCCATCTCTCCAATAGTGGACACTGCTTCACTTTTAGGAGAAGTATCTCACTTGGTCCCTGCCCTCCTGAGCAGGCAGGATGTGATCTGTCTTGACAGCAGTGGCGATGAAGACGAAAAAGTGGACCCCACGCTGCCTGCGCTTGCCGTTAGTGATGGTAAGATATATACTACTTAATTTTTTCCCCAGACAATATGAGAATCAAGCAAGCTCTCACACAGGGTTTATTTCTATGATGACGCAGATGTAATTGAGCTTAGTTCTGGGGACGAGGATGCCCTGCAGATAAGCAGCGAGTCGGCTGATGAGGACGCAGATGGCACCACCAGTTCAGAGGAGAGCAGCGGGGCACACATCAACGACGCTCTAAATCTGCCCGATGCCCAGGGTCGAGTGCTGGTTAATATCAATCACCCCGCAGAGGAGAAAGACCTTTACCTCGCTCCGCAGCTGGCCAGGGCCGTCAAACCTCACCAGGTATATATAGCCACTTTCTCTCGAAGCCTGAAAACATTCACGCTCATTAAAAGAAACCCACAGTCCAGCTTGTTTTCTTTGTTTCCTGATTTCTAAGATCGGAGGAATCCGGTTTCTGTATGATAACCTCATCGAGTCTCTGGAGCGGTATAAGACCAGCAGTGGCTTTGGCTGCATCCTCGCTCACAGCATGGGTTTGGGCAAGACTCTGCAGGTCATTTCCTTCATTGACATCCTACTGAGGAATACTGAGGCTCACACTGTGCTGGCCATTGTTCCTGTGAGTAATCAAAGTATTTACTGTGTTAAAACACCACCTTTCATGTTTTTATTTAGATTATATTAACCTCCGAAATCTTTGTCTCCTTCATAAAAGGTGAACACACTTCAAAACTGGCTGACAGAGTTTAACCTCTGGCTCCCACCCCAAGAGGCCCTTTCCCCTGACACTGACCCTACAGTCGCCGTAGGCCGCGCATTCAAAGTTCACATCCTCAACGATGAGCACAAGTATGTCACATGTTGTTTGCAAGGTTATTGTCAAAGATTTGAGCAGTTAATCACGCTGCCTCTGTGTGACCTGCAGAACGACGCTGGCCAGGGCCAAGGTTGTGGAGGAATGGTCCAGAGACGGAGGGGTGTTGCTGATGGGTTATGAAATGTACCGCCTGCTGTCCATGAAGAAGAGCTTTGTGATGGGCAAGAAGAGGAAATCAAAGAAGCCCGCAGGGCCAATCATCATCGACCTGGATGAAGAAGACAGACAGCAGGAACTCATGAAAGGTCAGCAGAAGTTATTCGTTTAAGGGAAGCAGGGGGCCTAAGCAATCTTGTGAAGTGGTTTGTGTGCCGTTAAAATATTAACTAATGGGGCAGATGTACCAAGAGTCCTAATTACAGCAGCCTGGCTTTGAATCCAACCTGTGGCCCTTTGCCCCCTCCTCCCCCTCTCCTGTCAGTGTTCTGTTTTGTCGAAAGACATAAAGGCAAAAAACCACCCCCCCACACCCCAAAAAAAAAATATATATATATACATAAAACAAATATGATAAATTAGCATAAGAGATACGTAATCTACAGTCTAATTTACATTTACAGACTCACTGACTGACTCAGTCTTCCCTCATTACTTTGTCTTTTCAGGTATTGAAAGGGCCATAGTGCGCCCTGGCCCAGATGTGGTGATATGTGATGAGGGTCATCGCATTAAGAACTACCATGCCAGCACATCACAGGCTCTGAAGAACATCCGCTCCCGGCGCAGAGTCGTCCTGACGGGTTACCCGTTGCAGAACAACCTCATTGAATACTGGTGCATGGTGGACTTTGTCAGGCCAGACTTTTTAGGCACGCGTCAGGAGTTCAGCAACATGTTTGAGCGACCCATTCTGAACGGGCAGTGCGTGGACAGCACACCTCAAGATGTCCGCCTGATGCGCTACCGCAGCCACGTGCTGCACAGCCTGCTGGAGGGTTTTGTCCAGAGGTAAACTTTCTGTCAGTGCTGGATTTAGACATTTTGACTGGGATGATGATTACATGTAAGTGTTCACTGTGGTTTTTGTGGTTACAGACGTGGTCACGATGTGCTGAGAGACCAGCTTCCCACCAAGGAGGAGCATGTGATCTTGGTGCGACTCTCTCCCGTTCAGAGGGCGCTGTACACAGAGTTCATGAAACGCTTTCGAGAAGCAGGGAACAGTGGTTGGCTCGGCCTAAACCCACTCAAAGCCTTCTGCGTATGCTGCAAGGTGAGCCTGTTTTCCCTGCTGTTTGGTAGAAACCAGTGGTGATTTTTGTTGTGACTATTAAGTTATGGCATTTTACTTTTTAAATCAAGAAAACCCCCTTTTTTCCCCCTTACCCCTCCAGATCTGGAATCACCCAGATGTCCTCTACGAATCCCTGCAAAAGGAGAATCAGGCCAATGAGCAGGACCTGGACCTGGATGACATCACTTCAGCCAGTAACCCCCGCTGCCCTGCACCGGGTGCCGGCCTCAAAGCCAAAGTAGCTGACTCGAGCAACAGCAAAGTCAACAACACCCTGCCACCCCTCAATCCCTCCCAGGATAGAGCCAATCAAGTCATTACATATGAATGGGTATGTCATGACAACAGTCCATGTACAGCTGATTTCTCTTTGTTTTGCAGCTAAAAGAGTCCTCTTGTTTCAAACCTAATGAACAAGTAAAGTTTATAATATTGAAATATACTACTGTGATCCCCGGCACTGAAGTCTCTCTGAGTCACACTGACTTTTAACTCAACAGCCTTCTCTTCCATTTATTATGTTTCAGGCAAAGGACATAATGTCAAACTACCAGACAGGAGTTCTGGAAAACTCTGCCAAGATGCTTCTGCTCTTCCATTTGATTGATGAGAGCGTGAGAAGAAGAGACAAGATTTTGGTCTTTAGGTAAGTCCTCTGCACAGAATAGACTGCATTAAACCCAAATCTACCATTAAGCAGCTTAGAGAAGAGGTAGACTGAGTTTGCATTTCAGCTAATTAATCAGCTTTCTGAGTTTTGGACATATTTTAATCCTCCTACATCAGCAAGCAGGTTTTCTGCTTCTTTTCCACGTTACTTTTGTAAGCAGGAATTTCACAATTAACCAAAATTAGGACCTAGAGTAAAACTAACGTGATGGTTGTTTGTAATCACATGTACATAACTGATTCATTATAACTGTTGACTTTGAGTATACCAGTCTATTTTTTTAGTCTATTTTATTACACAACAGCTTTTTGATTTATTTCATACCAGAATGCACTTCTCTGACCCCTCATTATGTGTTTCTACTGTGTACCCACCAGTCAAAGTTTGTCCACCCTGTCCGTCATTGAGGACTTCTTATCAAAGAGACCCATGCCGACAGGCATCGCCTCTGAAACCCAGAACCAAAACTGGGTTCGCAACCTCAATTACTACAGTGAGTCATCCAATCTGCAACTCTGCAGAAAGTGTGGTCACCACCACTAAAACCTCATAGCTGTGATAGTCTTCATTGATTTATTATCACTGGCTGCAGTTTTCTCGAGTTCTCCCATTTGATCATTTGTCTCTTACACTGTGCTGTGGAAACAAGTTTACGAGCAATCTATTGCAATTTGACAAAGATGTTTGAAATTGTTCTTTTTATATATGTTGCACATATATCCCCCAGAGATAGTTATAGATTCCTCCAGGCATATTACAGTCTGCCAAGATGAAAAAGTACTTCTCCTATAAGAGTTCAATAGCAATGTCCAGGATTAAAAATGTCCCAGCTTTATCTCATCTAACATATTGAATGAAAATATTACCATGATACATTCTACTTCATTTTGCTGCAAGTTAAAGTGTATTCAGGGGATTCAGTGCTTCAGTGTTAAGAGATGATGTATGTCTGTCTACAGGATTGGATGGGAGTACATCTGCCTCAGAAAGAGAGCGACTTATAAATCAGTTTAATGACCCAGAGAACACTGCAACATGGGTTTTCCTGCTTTCAACAAGGTATGTGTCTCTGCTCTCTCTTTTCTTTATTGTTTTTTCACACTTGCTTTATACACCTCAGACATTGTATCATTTATTTGCTGTGTACCTTTTTCAAGAGCGGGCTGCTTGGGGGTAAATCTGATCGGGGCCAACCGTGTCGTCGTGTTCGATGCCTCCTGGAACCCATGTCATGATGCCCAAGCGGTGTGTAGGGTGTACCGCTATGGTCAGAGGAAACCCTGCTACATATACCGCCTTGTCTGTGATTTCACCTTGGAGAAAAAGATCTATGACAGACAAGTCTCCAAACAGGGCATGTCTGGTAAGAGGTTTCTACATCTGTTTGTTAGACATTGCATTTATATTGCATTTCGCATTTGCACAATCCCTTTTGGTCAACCGTTTTCATTTTAATTTAATATTATTGTGTCATGGAACTGTTATTAAGCCATTATCCAGGCACATACTCAGATCTAATGTGGGCAGTTATTAACATTTACCTGAATCATATCCAGTTTTAAAGTGTTGTATCCTTTTGTGTTTAAAGACCGAGTGGTTGATGACCTGAACCCAGTGCTGAACTTCACTCGTAAGGAAGTGGAGTCGCTGTTGCATTTTGTGGAAGAGGAACCTGACAAAATTTCTCTCACATCCCGGGAGGACTTTGAAATAGTGATACACCAAGCTTGTCAGCTTTACCCAAACCTCATCACCAAGGTACAGTTGCAGTAGGTGTTACTCATAAGCCTAAACTCTGCAAGTAATGCAGTTTTGGTGGTTGGATGTTTTAAATAAAGGTTTTTTTTTTTTTTTTACATACTCTTAAGTAGGACAATGGCCTTTCAATGTGCTATTGTGAAATAAGGTTATTTTTTACTGGGAATTTCACAGTTGTGTGTGAGAGCCTGAAAAGATTGACAATTTGGATGTGATGACAGCCACATAATTACATTCCCACAGCTTATCTAGTAACACTGTCCTCCTGTCTGACAGGGCTCAAGTCTGTCTGTGGGGAATTAAGTAAAACATTAGACTAAAAGAAAAGCAGTAATAACTATTTTAATAAAAATAATAATTTTCTATTATAAATACCATATAAGTGGTGAGTTTTTTATGGGATGTCAGATTAACCTGCCTCTTGTGTGGAAAATCTGCTCTGATGGTTCTGATCTGGGTGTAATTAAATTTTCCTCTTTCCATTTGCCTCATTAGCAACCTTTCCATCATGAATCTCTGCTGGTGGATCGCAAGGAGTCGAAACTGACCAAAGCAGAGAAGAGAGCAGCCAAGAAGAGCTACGAGGATGAGAAAAGAGCCTCTGTGCCCTACTCTCGTCCATCGTATGCCCCCTATTACCCAACCAGTGATCAGGCACTCGCAAACATACCAGCATTCAACCAACGTGGCTGGTGGGTTTCAGATTGCATCTTTTAGCTTGTGTTCCTTTTTGGGTATCTCATTTAAAAATGTGCGTAAACTAACCAGCAGTGTTTTCCTGTTTGTTTGAGGTTGCAACTCTACAGTTTATCTTGTTCTTGTGATAAAATCTCATCACATTAGACTTGACTGTTAGAGGATGTGTGTGAGTGTGTGTGTCTCATCAGTTCAGCCCTCCTATTATCAGGCGTCCCATGGCACGGCCAGATGACAAGCCTGTGGCAAGTGTTAGGCCTATCCAGTCAACCCCAATCCCCATGATGCCTCGCCAGGTTGGTATGGGCATGGCTGGCTCTAGCTCAGCTGGCAGCCTGCCTGTCAACTTCCTGCAGAAAGCTGGAGTTTATGTGCAGAGGATTGTCACCTCGACTGGTAATGTATAATATTTTTAAATGCTTCAATCATTGAAAATGCAACTGTACATAATGGCATTGTAATGAGCAGACATTAACATCAGAAACTTTGTCCGGATCTACAGATATTGTAATTCCAGGAGCCAACAGCACAACAGATGTTCAAGCTCGAATTAGTGCAGGAGAGAGCATCCATGTTATCAGAGGATCTAAAGGTAGTTGCAACAACACAATCATTGCTCTCTGCATACAAAGCATTTTGAGTTACTGCCTTCACCACTTGATGTTTTATCCACCACAGGCACCTACATCAGGACGAATGATGGACGAATCTTTGCTATTCGATCTGGAAAGATCAGTAGACCAGCAGTCGGGGGCTCTGCTGCGTCGAGAGGTACAAGTTCATATTTATTATTTCTGGTTTCTGTTCTGACTTTCTTTATTCTCTGTGCATATGAAGCCAGTCAGATGCCAGGCGAGACTTCTAACAAACACATTTAGATTATCTTCTTATTGTGAGATGAATTTGCTTGTAGGTCACGTTGTTCTGATGAAGCGAATTAATGTTTGGATGTTATGTAAATGTGATATGCGGCATTGCGTCAAGTTTAAATCAAAGTATCTAAACAACAAAAAAGTAGTAAGTAATAAATAGGATTGATAATAAAATATAAATAATAAAAAAGATAATCAACAAACTGAAGTATTGCATGGCGTCTGAATGGCTTCATATGCAAAAGGAACAAAGAAAGCCCGAACAAAAAGTTGAAAGTTGAAAAAATCTTTTATCTGCATTGTCTCTTTCCTTTGTCACACACCTGGTTCAGTTAACCTCTTGCAACAGGTATGCTACATCATTGGCTGACACCAGTCTCAACCAATCAAATGGAGCCAAACATATACTCATTAAATAAAATGCTTTATTGGAAATGTATGTTTCAGGGCTGCACAGATTTTTGACATTTTTTTAATAATTTAAATAAGAAAAACAAGCCTCCAAATTTATGGACGTGCAATGCAAGTATGCTTTATGCCACTAAATATGTTAATAACGATGAGAAAACACAAATAAATCACTGCTTATCATTTGTGAACTGATTTGTTTGTTCCTCTTTAATAATATTTGTACATTAATGTACATATTTGCCTACACCATTTTATTTCCAGGATTGACCTTTTCAGAATAAATTATTCAGAGGCAAGGTACATGTCTCCTGACATTTCATGGCTATATTTCTCTCCCCACCATAGACACCCATGGCTCCCTCATCCATCCAGTCAGCAACGGCTGTTCGTCCCCTGTGGATCAACAGCAGCAGTCCCCCAACGGGGAGCAGCGGCCCTCCTCTCCCTTAAGCTCTGAGATCCTCAGAGAGATCAGCCGCTACACCTCATCCACAGGCGATGCCACCACTGGCATGGGGAACGAATTGCCATCACCGTCGGACGTGTCGGCTGTACCGGCAGGGGATGAAGGCAGCTCGCAAAACAATGAGGCTGGTGATCTCAGTAGGCAACTCACTGACGACCTCCTGAGCTCGTCTTTGGAGATGCGTGGCAGCAAACGCAAGAGTACTGAAACCCAGGGCAACGCACAAATAGGAAGCAAACGCACCTCCGCCGCAACACGTTACCCTGCACTGTCCATGAGCTCCAGTGGGCTCAGCTTTCCTCCCGTGGGTTTGAACTCCTCCTCCCTACTGGGGAACCTAGGTCACATGAGTCATCCGCTTCTGATGGGTGGTAGCGGTGGATCATCATTCCTTCAGACACCAGGACAAACACTAGCTGACCTACAGACCATGTTCCCTTCTGCCACAGGGAACGGACACCTTTCCACGCCCTCCTCATCCTCTCTGCCCACTGTTTTCTCCTCTGCTTCCACCACCATGCCTATGTCGTCCGCTCCCTCGGCAGCACCTTCTTCATCCCTGGGGTCAGGTTCTCTGTCTCCGTACTTGTTGAATCCCAACATGGCAGGCCTGCTTTCGCCAGGCTTCCCTCTCAACTACAGTCAGTCGCTGCTCTCTGAGCCGAGGATGTTCCCCACCCCTCTCCTCTCTGGGTCAGGGGGATTCCCTGCACCTAACTCCAGCTCTACTGCATCCAGTTTTCTCTCCCATTACAACAATCCAACTTCCAGCCTGTTGGGCGCGGCTCTGACCCAGCCGGACAGACATCAGAGCGCCGAGAACGGCGGCAGTAGTTCTGATGACGACGTTATAGAGGTGACAGGACAGTAGAGACTCAAAAAGTCTTGGGGAGGCAGTTTCACACACAATTTTATCAATCATGGCTAACATGTAGTACATTAGGGATGGGAATGATTAGAATTAAAGGACTAAATTAATTAAATTAAATCTGTGACAGTATTTGCCCGAATGGTCAGAAACATTATGTTATATTCTGGATGTGTGATCAGAAATCACATGAGGTCAAGAGAGAAAAAAATGGGAATTCTACAATGATGACGTGACTGGGCATCTAAATAAAAATAAAAGCCAATAAATAAAACAAAAGATTGAAGTTAAATGTGGTTTGGCCTTGCTGTTAGTCTAGCCATTTAAATCCTTAAATCATCAGATAAACTGCATTCCCATTCCTAATGATCTTATTAAACTACACACATATACACACACACACACACACACACACAGACTCTTACCTGCAAATGAGAGAATCAACTTGTACCTTAATGACTTTACAAAGTCAAAGTAAGAAATCCTTATGCTGAATATCCCAGACTTGTTCAGCTGGAGCATCAGAGCAGTGGGAACAGACCTTTGTCGTACGGGGGACCAGCTGAATCTTTTGCGGGCTTTCTAAGCACAGCCTCTCCTGCTACACTTTTAAGCAAGGCCTCGTCGTGCTTTTTAATTTTACCTTTGGAAATCAGGTGGAACAATGTGATGAAAACTTGTTTGGATTGCCTCGCGACACATTGCTGTGTCGAGTGCAAACCAAAATTTGACTCGCTGTTACACATGTCAGCCGTACTCACCTGCTGAACACTAATTAACAGATTTTTCTTCAGCACTGTTTCCTTTTTCTAGTATACAAAACTGGAAAAATACGCACCACAATAAATCATAACAGCGGCTACAGAAGAAACCCATTTGACAGTGTATTTGGAGTAAAAAAAAAAATCCTTCAAGGCTTACCTTTAACAACAAATTTTAGGCTTTCAGAGCATATTTTAGTCTTTAGCAATTTGATAGACATTGTAGCATCCCCTGTTGAAAGGATATTATGTGTGATACTATAACTGAACATGTTGATACTTTGTAAATAGTCATTATCATTGTTTATATTGCAAGTCAATACTGTGCAGTGTGTAGATCTTGGTTGTAGGGAGATGGCTCATTATTACAGTGACTATCATGACGAGAAATACGCCCTCGCATTGATGCTGGGGGAAACAAATTTATGTTCAACTTTCTAATTTTGCTTTCCTTTTTTGTTCTTTAAAACTAAACTGAATGTACTTTCATGTTAGCCTTTGATAACACAGGGGCTGGGGGCAAGGATTCGGACTGTGTTCTTTCGTTTTTAGCCTTAAATAAATAACACAAAGGGGTCTTGAGTCTTAGCATTTATCTAGAACATCCTTTTTACAGATCTGTTGGAAGAACTACTGAGCATCCCGACAGTCGGTGTCAAACTCAAAACACAAGCGTAGGGTCGGTTCAGCATTGTGACTAAAAAGCACCAAGTGTGAAAGCCAAAAGGAGCGCAAACCAAACCACCTAGCTCATTTGAGAAAACCTGTCTTTTGTTCCAGTTTTTTACATCAGCGTCCCCCCCCCACCATCTGTTGATATATCATCGTTCAGTCAATGTTACACCCTACATATACTTCCTCACAGATTATTTTCAGAAACCTGCTGAGAACAAATCTTACCTAAACTGTAGAAAAACATCGCATTCTTGCAGCCTGAGTGTATAAAACCTTAAAGTCAATGTAGCCACCGACCATCAAACCAGATGTTTTCATTACAACCACCTGTGACTGTGACAGAACCAGGTCAGGCAGGTGTGGTGGCCTTACCAACCTGACAGTGCCATTGTGTGGTAGCTTTTCACAGAGGTGCATCTTTAAAAGCAGTGCAGTGTAAAGTAGCTTCTGTCAGTAGTGTCGATATCTGCTGTGCTTTAGGGAGTTTAGGTCTTTGCTGTTCTCTGTAGCCTTGTGTTTCTGTGTTGTGATGACACCTCAAGGTATGTAGATTTTAGGAAAGTCCCTTTCCTCCGTTGGTAAAATAGGCTAGACGCAGTGGTTATTAGCCTTTAGAAAACACTGGATAACCTGAGACAACAGGTCATTCCCTATGAAGTAAGACATTTTTGTAGAGATGCTTTCTTGTGGGGATCTTTTGCTCCCACAGTCCTGAGTACTGTTCACTTTTTTCGTTTTATTTACTGGCTACTGGCTCCTTTCCTGTTTCTGTTGTGGATGCTTCTTTTCTGTCATCAAGGACCTCTCCACTTTTTTCTTCAGCATGTCTTGGGAACTTGTGATGGTCTGTTCCAGATTTGAAGGTGGAGCTGGCACTATGAAAAAGAATCATATCTGCTTGTGAACTGTACATCACACTGACGCCATGTCTTTATTCTCAGTCTTTTTCAGTCCGTTGGAAACACGTTGCATTTGAATCTTGGGAATCTGTTTATAAAACAAAACCTGTCTGCCATTTCATGTCAATTATGTGCATTTTTATGTTTCATGGGAATTCTTTCATTTTTTAAAATGTTTTTTATAACTTCTTATTGGTGTTTACTCACCTGGCAGTTGTTTCCCTTATTTCAATGTAAGTGTCTGAAATTTATTTATTTATGATGGAAAATATATTGTTTTTGTAATTACATTTTTTAACCTTTTGTTCACTCTGACCCATTGACGGCTGATCCAGTAAGAATTTCGTACATGCAGCCTAGATCGAAGCAGAATATGACCGTGTTATCAATGTTATTTTAACAATAAAACACTCTTCTATTGCAGTGTGAATCATTTACAAATGCTTTGAATGTACAACATATATTCTTATTTATTCAAACGTGGCAAAATAAGTAATCAATGGCAGCATAAATAGTCAAAAGGCAGAATAATTTGAAACCTGAGATACAACAATTCAAGATATATTCAGCACCGTAGCTAGGATTTTATAAATACTGAGGTCATGAATCCAAAATCACAACTTCAGTCATTTCTGACTAACAAAAAGGATTCAAGTTAATACATTTTATCTCCCCTATCATGGTCTCAATAGTATGTCAAACCCTCTTCACACTGCAGTTTCCAATCTCAGCAGAGAATATTAAAACCATTATTTTTACTGCTATTTAATTGTTTTGTGGGTGGTAGCAGCTCTGTGAGGCTATACTCAGACACAGCAAAGCTAATGCTAACATGCTGACATTCATCAGGTAGTATGTTTACCATGTTCACCATTTTACATGCTAACATTTGCATTAAACACAAAGTAGAGCTGAGGCTGAAGAGAACAAGTCTGCAGATGCACAGTACTACAGGAGCACGACACTCCTACATGACACCATCGAAACTGTCACAGTTTGGTTAGGTTGAGGTGCCAAAACTGCTTGGTGGGGTTTAGGAAAGATCACACTTGGATTAAAATAAGTATGTAATTCAAGAAGCTACTTCAGGGTGTGTGTCATGTTGTGAAGAGGGTGTGTGGTGTAGTCTGACAGACTGCAGATATACCCTTCACAATGGGGATGTCATTCATTTTGCAAGTATTTAGTCATAAACTAAAGCTGGCATGGCTAAAAATATCAGAAATTACTCATAAAAAGCCAAAAAGTGAAATATGTGTGTAACTGTGAAATGAAACCTCTTGTTGCTAGAAAAAGAACAAACAGGACCTCAGTGTCCTCAATGGTAACTATGGTCCTGAATATATGACTGAATATATGAAAACAAAGTATTTCAATATCCACATTTGGCACAAGTGATTCGTGACATGAGAAGACCTTCAACGAGCCACAGATACACACTTTCATACAAATCAAACTGAGGACGTGACTAAAAAAAAAATTTAATCTCAAAGGCAAACCTTGCCCAAGTACACAGTGAGCGTTAAAGTGTCAATATTGTGTCTTCTGTCATGACTGCAGCCGTTTCTTGGCCATGTACGCCCCGGTGACTTGGTTCATCACGAGCAGGGCAGTGAGAGCAGGGCAGAGCGCTGACAGGTACCAGGTGTATTCCCTGACAGACGCTGTGAACCAGGCAGAGCTGAGGCCGAGGAGCAGGCTGGCACTGCCGAGCAGGTAGGTGACGAGTCCAGACGCCGCATGGTAGCGTTTGAGTTTGGCCAGGGACCAGCCTTTGGCCAGAGAGTGGTAGATGAGGGGCACGGCTGCCACAGACTGAACCCCCACCACACACACTGTGAGCAGGCCCAGCAGACCGTGCCACGAGGTGAAGTGGGGTTTACCATTCAGGTGTTTGTTGTAGGAGATGGCTGCCAGACCCAGGACCGCACAGGACACACAGAGGCTCTGCAGGACCCAGTGAACACGACCTTTGGTCTTGTGTGGAAATCTTTTGATGGGGGAGCCGTGGGGGGAGAAAAGGAGGATGGCTTCAGTCATGAAGAAAGAGAACTGGTGGGAAAAGGGGAAACAATATGAAGAGGCATTTATTCTTGAAAATGACTTTAAATAATCAGTTAATAAAAGTTAGTTCAGTTATTTAACTGCTCATAAACTTATTGATTCTGTATCAGGGTTAAACATGAATAAAGTTAAGAGGGTTTAATGTTATTTCATTTACAGCTGAAAAGATTTATTTTCAAAGTGTCAACGTACCGCTAGTGTCATGAAGAAAGGATGCCAGGAAAACAAACCTAAAGTAAAACAAACAGATCAAATGAACAAACATTATGCCAACGGTGGACGGGGATATGTAGGTGTGTGATAACTCAGAGCACTCACTTGAACCCGGTCGAGACAGAACTGCGATGAACACAGTGAACACAACGCAGACAAAGTGGCTCAGCGCCGCAGACGCTGTTCTGGTGTAACCGTAGACCCGAGGCTCAGATTCGGCCTCTTTGTTGTGAACCATGTTCGAGACCACTTACTTATGTGGACCCAGGCTGCTCACCTGCGACCGACCCACGCTACGGCTGGTTGGTTGGTTGGTTGGTAAGTTACCTAAGTTGAACTCGGGAGTTTCAGCCAAACAGAACCGGAAGTGATGGTAGGAGAAAAGTAACCGTTAGTTCTTCGTGCTAAAAGTCTTGTTGACTTACAGACAGAAGTTTATATTAACTAATATTACCAGATAACTGTCACATAACTCTAACTTTACGGATGTAAAAGGTCCAACGCTACGTTGTTACATAGGCAGGCAAAACATAGCACTTCCGGTCATGTTTTTCAAAATACGGACTTGTTTTACCAATTCACCATCGCTCAATAAACAAGAAATATTCAGAAGTATAATTAACCAGAACACATTAAACGCATTTAAATTGTGATTTAATTTCACTTAACAATAAATTAATTATAACTAAACTTCTACAGACTTGTAACCAGGAGCTTTGGAAGCAGCATCGACTCAGTTTGGACCTCTTCTCCTATTTGAATGGGAGAAATATTATATTAAAATATATTAATGACAATAAGGTGGCACTTTTAGAATTTTTATTTGTGTCTTAAATTGAGAAGAGTTGTAACTGTGAGTCATATTACTCTTCAAATACAAATAAATAGTTTAAACCCGTTTCCAAATGTCGCTTGCTTGATGCTTTTATTCTGAAAGCAGAGTAGCCGGAAATGTTCCGTGCTTATTTTGGTGAATTTAACGCACCTACTCTCCTCCTGGCTGACGTGGATGCCTCAGACAGAGTTCACATTTAGGGAAAACTTTATCAAGACTCAAGACCGCTGTAGGCGCAACGTTATATTTAATTTAATTTTATTTAAATGTATGTAAAAGTAGAATGTCATTTAAATGGATTACTGTAAAAAACACAAACTCGTTCAGTTAAACTATGGTAGATAAAAATGCATATTATTCATATTATACCTGTACTGTATGTTCATAGCTCATATTTCCACTAAACTATACTGCTGTATATATTTTATCCTGTGCACTTATATTTATTTTTACACCATGCCACCACCTCCTGCTGTGAGCTGTGCAATGTTCCATATCAATCACATCTGTATATAAGAAGCTGTATATAGTGTAGCCTATATATAACAATTATTCTGTTTTATTTATTTCTATTATATCTTGCATTTTTTATCTCATATTATATTATCTTATCTTATCTTAAAGAGTCTAAAATCAGTTCGGGTGCATGTTGTTGGTTAAGCAGGCTGGTTTAGGATGTGATGTCTCAGACTGCCATCCATTCCACATCCAACAACCCAGTGGACACTCACTGGTCAGATGTTCACTGCTTATTGTGCTCCAATTAATCTCTAATGAGCTTGTGACTGCAGGGCCTCTGCACACTGCAGGCACAGCAAGAGAACACATGGTCATTCAGGACATCTCGCTCTCTCGTTCTCTCCGTCTACCCCCTTCTGTCTACTGCCACTGTTTACTGAGATTCTTTGTTTCTTTGTTTATTTTTTTCTGAGAAGAGTTGCACTTGGCAGAGTTTCTATTGCAACCCATACTCTGGCAAAACTAGTCACTTGTGTTGTCCAGATGGTGGCACTAAAATACAACATACATATTAGACATGTTAAAACATCTGCAGGCTTGTTACATTGCAGATGAAGATTTTCCATACAAAATATATGATTGTCTTAAAATATACTCAGTAGTATATAAAGTACTACACAGTAATAATATTACAATTCATAGGCCTATGTTTGTCCAATAATGCAAGACTAACATTGGCTATTTCTCTGCATTATGACTATATTTATGTTTCTGATGATACTTCCTACATTTATTTACTTGGGTAAAATTTTCTCACTACTTGCAGCTACAGGTACAAGTTACTACAGTCCCTCCCTGCCACTGTGAGATCTTGTTTTCTTCTGCCTCCAAAGTCTGAAAGACTGAATGAACTCAGTGTAAGTGAGTGGCACTCATACTCCAGATATTCCAACATGCATGTCTGACATGAGAGAGATGATACAGAGAAAGAAGAGGCCTTCATCTGCTCTCCATATTTGAGCCTGGAGGCTTTTTCCTCATCGGGTGATTTCCAAATGGCTCTTAATTAAACATTATACAGTCTGTTTATTCCAAACTGGGATATCCACCATTTGAGAAAAGTGACTCTTTCACATTGACCAGTATCATTTTAGATACTTTACTGATTAATTTAAATCCATTTTTGACAACAAAAAAATCATCCATGGTAAATAAATAAATAAATAAACATTTTCCAAGAAGGCAACCTTTTATAAAGGATTTAGAAGTTGTAATTAATGTCTTTATTAATGGTTAATATACAATTTACTAATATTTGATAAACTATTAATAAGAGCAATGGTTGCCAGTTTGGTGAAAATCTCATGCCATAGTGTTTATTCTTTCTATTTGGTAATAATACAGTTATGAATATTCGTAATTTATTAATTCGTATGTTCTAATAAATCCCACAGTCTGCCGTTATAAATGTTAATAAACCAAGAATAAATTAGTTATTACCATTTTAACTTTAAAAAACATTTGTACAACAATCCATCATGAAGCTTTAAAAGAGCTATTAGTTACTTACTTTTTATTATTAGAAAGCTGCAGCCTTGTGGACTACATGCAGTGTATGGTCATACTACTGCATCCCTGTACACATACAGTAGTGTATCTGCGTGAGAACAGAGGGGATTCCTCCTCTGCTGCCTCACTCAGGATGGTTTAATACATAGGGGGGATTAAACGGTAATCCCACACTCACAATGTGCATGCGCAAACTGAGGTGCGTGCGTCGGGCGAGGGACGGTTCGGTGTTAATGCAAACGACCAACTGCGTTCACTCTCCAGATCTCCTCTACCAGAAGTGGCGCTGGTGAATGAATTGAGGTAAGGTGCTTTTTTTAACGGTATGTCTGTCAGAAACTGCGAAGATTTGCTCTGGGTGTCAACTGAGGTTGTCGTCCCGTTTCCGACAGGATTAAACCGGGATGTCCCGGTACAGACTCAGCTGCACAAATAACATATTAAAGTATAATCTAAAGTTTATTCCTATTGATCGAGCCATTTATGCTCACTTTCACACGGATATAATCATGACACAAGCAGCAGAATATGCATGGATTGGGTGATCCCGGTTACAATGTGCTCTTGTTGCCCTGTGTGGATAATTGCGCCGTGTGGTGACCCAGTTGGCAGATAGAGCCCCGGGTTGTTCATATTCAAGTCACAATGCAACTGCACAGGGAAACTAATGCAACTAAGTTTCTGATGCACCTGTAAACATTTTACACTTATTCTTCCTGATGATACTGATCAGTTCTACAGTTTAGAAAATGAGTTTTGTTTCATGCAGTGTTTGTCAATCCCTGTTTATCTGTTACAAGTGATGGAAGAGGTATTCCTATTCTTTACTTTAGTGAAAGTAGCAATGCCACAATATAAAAACACTCCACTACAAGTGAATGTCCAGAATTAAAAATCATACTTAAGTAAAAGTAGCTAAGTCAGAGTCAAACCTAAATGCACTCATTACGCCTCAGAGTGACCCCTGACAGTTTTATATTAGCTAATTTTACCTACATTATACACTGATGCATTGTTTCATATTTTATAAGGTCATCATATACGTTTTCTATAATAAATCTTAATCTTCAAAATTACTAAAGCTGTATAATAAACACTGGAGAAAATGTGCAATATTTCTCATTGAAATGTAGTGGACAGTAAGTATAAAGTAGCATTACAACTTAAACTTGTACAGTAGGCTAACATGAGTGAGTGAGTGAGTGAGTGAGTAACATGAGACATACATGTCAATATATATACGTTTAAGAACTTAAAACCAAGGCTGTAGGCTTTTTACTTCCATTGTGTTGCCACTTATTTCTGAAATGATAGCTCAGTCATTTAGTTCTTTAATATATGTGTATATACGTGCATGTAAAGTATGAAAAGTTTTTTTTTTTGTGATTTAATCCAAAATGTGCAGTTTTGTTTCAGTAGCACACACAGAAAAACAGTATGAGTTGTCCCTGGATTGCGCAGGATTATACTAGTGATTTTGACCCACATTTTATTATAATCGTATATCCTGGCATCAGATAACAAATGTTAATCTCTTATTTTTCCATTTTTGAAGCCCAAACCACAACACAGCACAGACATTGATTTATTGCCTGAACTGAAACTGATTTAAATATGTCAGATTATTTTTAATTAAACTCACCCATACATTTATTCATTGTATTGTACACAAACTTGTGTATAATTGTTTATTGTATATAAACTGTCTTGCAGCTCTTGGCTTGGCTGCCACCTGTTCCTCTTCATAACACACCGATCTGGAAGAGGACCGAATCAAATATTCTCATTTTCCTTGAGCCATACACTTTAATGCTGTCTCCTCTCAGGGCTGGATGTACACCCATACTAGCTCATGGACAGCAAGTGCTCATCTGACACGTCAGTGTCTGTATCGAGGACAGGATGTCTAAATGTGAGCTGATAGAGCTGAAGGACCTCAGTGTAAATGATCCAATTGAACTGGCTGCTCCTGCGGCCCGCACAGCACTGCCACCTGTAAACCCAGGTCAGCAAGGCCACTTCCATGTCGTCCGTCTGGTTGGAGACAGCGTCAGCATTGAGGCACCCCTGTGTCAGACAGGAGAGGCTGCAGTGGGTCATGACTTCCAGCCCTACAGTTACACCCATCTCACCTGGTGTGACCTGTGTGGAGAATTCATCTGGGGTGTTTATAAGCAAAGTTTGCGCTGCGCCAGTGAGTACCTTCTGTGTGTGAATTTCTATGAAGTTTGGAAATATTCCACATATATAAAATGTAATTTTTTTTTGTGTGTCAATAAATCCTATAAAAAGGCCAAAACCAACAATGAAATGATAAGTATTGCCTGTGTAGCCAAAGCCTTAGTGCTCTGTGCCACAGACCTTTGTTGTTGTCCAAAAACTATTAAAAACAAATAAAGAAGTAAAACTATTGTTGGTGACAGGCGACATGGTCCTTTTTGAGTAACATTTGCATAAGTATGTATTAGAGACTCCTTTTTAAAGATTTAAATGTTTAGTAAGAACAAATGGGCTTGGCGCTGAGAGCCACAGACAGGTTGGGGAAGCCAGAAGGTATTTAGAAATGGATTAACTCATTATTGATTTTGGCATTAAGAAAAATATAGAGTAACACTTTAAATTTGGTGTGTACATGATGAGGATGTTTCTCTGCAACCACTGACCTAACAAACAAAGACTGTCAGTCTTTAGACATCATGTTCCTGCATATGGGCTTAATAATAGACATTATGACCATTGTGGCTGCTTTCTAAAGGTTACTAAAGATCACTGGTATGAAGATAAAAACCATTAATGTTTTTAATGAAATGGCTGAAAATGAGATAACATTTTTATTATAAATGCCCTCAAATTAAAGCCCAAATCAGCTCTGATGATAACTTAATGTCCATCCAAAACTCACAGAGTTGTGATATAGTTTTCACTTTCTAGTATCTATAGGATGCAGGAGGCCCATGTTATTTTTCCATTCATGAGAAACTTTATCACAGAGTTTGTCCTAATCTGTAGGAAGCTCTGGAAAACTTCACGTTGGTACTGACACTTCCTGGGAATATATTGTCTTTATCACTTGACTTCAGGGAAATTAACTGCTGTAGAACAAACAGGTGACATGCCAATAAATATCAACCATGAGCATATTTTGTACACACAAACAATTTGGCATTTTGCTTACATGATACGGATAATCTAGGTTAGTGTGCGGGTGATGTTTTTCAGCATAGTCACAGATTACTCAACAAAATCCACGGCAGAAGGCTCAACACAACAAGCGCTAACTGCTGCCCAAAGCATAACTGAAGGATGCAGAATTTGCACCCTCTAATGGTGATCTCTCTGTCTCTCAGACTGCAGTTTTACTTGCCACTACCGCTGCCGACCATTCATCCAGCTGGACTGCAGCACGCATGGACGTTTGTTAGCGGACCAGGACGATTTCTCTGTCGACTCTATCGAGACAGACACAAATGTGGTGAGTAACACAACTTTAATCACATATTTGATCAATAATACATTTGTACTATTCAGTGGATTCAGTGATTTAACTGCACAACCAAGTAATAAACATTATTTCAGGAAAAGTAAAGTGTGCTCAATACTGCCTCTGATCATATTGTGTAGGTCAAAGCAGATGGAGGCTACCAGATTGTCCACTGCTGTCCACTGAGTATCAATGTGCCATATGTCCTCAAACATACTGGTTTTATTACCTCCTCATTGACAAGGCATCTGTACAGAAAGTAATTTAGGAGAGAGCTGAGGGGAGGGGATAACTTAACAACGTCACAATAAAACAGCTGTCTTTATTTCAGAACCCCCAAAAAATCCAGGACCAGCACAAGATATCAGATAATTAAAGGATTGGTTCACTGTTTTTCAGCTCAGACTATATTAATATAAAGTTTACCATCATATCCAATGGATCATAACTTTAGGCCTGCAGGATAAATCTCATTTTAGATTATACAACACAAGGCTGTACAACGAAATGAAAGTTTGCAGTCCCTTTGTGCTACAGAAAAAGATAATGAAATTTATAGTAGAATAACATATACAATAAAATAAAATAAATACAATATATACAGTTATTTATATACATACATACTGTATATGTATACACCCAGGAAGTCATTTTGCAGTGCATTTTCTGTTGCATCTGTGGGATTGTAAACAGCAGCAACAAGATAGTGATTTTCACATAAAAAGTATATTTATATACTATAAACTACTACATACTATAAATATACTATAAACCCTATATATATATATATATTAAATTATATATGATATATAACAATAACATTGGGTGAAATATTAGGATAATTCGACCAGCCCACTCCCGGGAGTGGGCTGGTCCTTTAGACACCTTTGTGATGTTTTATTGTCAGGGAGGAGCAAATGGAAATGCTGAGGTTAAAAGAGCTGCTAGTAGAATCAGATCTCTCCAGACAGAAGAGAGAAACAGAGGAAAGCTAAGACATTTAAACTCCAGGAATTATTTTATATTCTATTCAATACGATTTCAGGCGACAACAAAAATCTGAAAAAGTTTGCCAAAATTCCTGCTGACCTGAACCTTGGAGATGACCTGGGGAAGCAGAGCAAGTGGCACATTTTGCAGTCAGGACAACAGCAGTAGCTCAGAGCTGGAGCTGTATTATACTGCATACACATCTTTCTTTCACAAGGTCAAAAGATCAGCGGTGAGGCTCAAGCATAATTCACCAGTCCTAAAGGCACAAAGCTGCTTTCTGCTTGGAAATCTAATTTATTTTTATTTCCGTTTGTCTGTTCTTTGTCACTCTCTTTTCATCTTCAAAGCTCACTTGTGGATGAGTTTTCTGCTGACATTATGTGGCCTATTTGCTGTTCTGTAACTGCTCTTTTCCTTTTTTTTTTAGGATGAACAGATCGATTGGGGTAAACAGGAGTTTACTGTTAGTGAGATTCAACACAAGGTTAAGGAGTATAATGCACAGATCAACAGCAATCTCTACATGGTAGCTGTGAGTGGCTAATAAACCCCTTTTCTCTCAACATTTATTCACGCAAAAATGTCTACCTAAACTGTATTAGTGTGAATACTTTGTTAATGTTGTATGAGATCATTTCACTCCCATTCTTACAATATAAATCTGTTCACCTTGCAGAATAAAGACGGGTCCTACACTGGTTTCATCAAGGTCCACTTTCAGTTAGTCCGTCCTATCTCCCTCCCTCCCCGTCAGAGCCTGTGCTCCATGCAGGAGGAAGATCAGGAGGGCGGACGGATGAAGCGGCGGACATCTTTCTACCTCCCCAAAGATACTGCCAAGCACCTGCATATAAGCTCCCAAACACGTGTGCGAGAAGTCATCGAGGCCCTGCTCAACAAGTTCACCGTGGTGGACAACCCGGCCAAGTTTGCTCTGTTTGAACGCACAGAGAGACAAAGTCAAGGTAGAATCCTCAACAATGCACAGTAAAACAAAACAGAATCAAGTCTGACATTTTAAAGTACTGATTTATATTTCCTTTAGTGTACATGCGTAAACTGTCTGATGACCAGTGTCCCCTCTACCTGCGCTTGTGTGCTGGCCCCAGTGAAAAAGTCTTGAGTCTGGTTTTGAAAGAGAATGAGACAGGGGATGTAAATGTAAGTTTCCATCTGGGTCTGAGAATTAATTCATATGATGAACATGTCAATATATGCAAAAAAAGTAAATATATGTATTGTATATACAGCTGATTTCAATGTGAAATATCTCTCCTCCACAGTGGGATGCATTTAGTTTTCCTGAGTTGTGCAACTTTCTGCGAATCCTGAAGCGCGAGGAAGAAGAGCACGTCCGACAGATTGTGAAACGCTACGCTCTTGCTAGGGACACGATGAAGCAGGCCATGGCAAGGATTTCTACTCCTGGTTGACTTTGAAGGATCCAGCTGATTTAAACATTAAGAAGAACATTCTGCCACTTTGAATAGTATTGTTGATTGTTGATAAAAGGGAAGGAAAAAGCTCCGACAATGAAAGATGCTGTTACATTTAATGTGAACTACCTGAAGGTTTAGGCCCTGCTAATGGAAGCAGAACCACTGTTGTCAACTGATTGGGGGAACAAAACTTAATTGGATGCAGTACTTTCTTGGAAAGCCATGCTGCTTGGCAAGATTATTTATAGACCTATTATTAAAAACACAATTTTAGTTTTCTTTCTGGTCATTTATCATGTGATATTTAGTTTCATTTCTATTATATGAAGCCGTTTTAAAATTTTGGCACTTTAATGAACCCGTGAAATGGATCTGGGCAAATTAAAATGTGAAACAATGTGTTTACATTGTAATTATCTAATAAACTGGTGACGATAAAACATGGCTCCTTTGATATGAATTGTGACCAGTGTTAGACCAGTAGTGCACATTGTAGTGTGGTAAGCCAGAGCCGGAGTAAACACTAACACTAAACGTGACACTATATGGATAGTAGTATGTGGACACCATACATTATATTTATATTACTGTTGATATTATTGTCATTGCATTCAAAACCATGGACATTTATGTGGTTGTATTACAGGATGTGCTCTTCTGGGAAGGCTGTCCCATAAGATTGTGGAACCTGGCTGCAGGGATTTGCTCTGAAACAGCTATAAAATCAGTGCTGTCCAATCAAGCTCGTCCACACCAAACTCATAAAATAATGTCTTTAATGACCTTGCTTTGTGCAAACTGTTGCTATACAGTTAAAATGCCATTATTGACAGTATTATGTTGATGCAGCATTAAGATTTCCCCTGTTTTGGAACTAAGGGGCCCAGCCCAAACCATGAAGACCAGTCTTTAGATAGATAGATACTTGATTTATCCCGAGGGAAATTCAAGAGTAGGCTACACAAAGGTATGAGGTGTTTGGCTGTAAAATGTACCACACAGTTTACTGTCAGTGTCTAGTTAATGGGACAGGCAGTAACTTATACAGTCTATTTTTTCCTGCTCAGTACACCCTAGGTGCTGTCTTTCCTTGTGCAGCTTTCTGGTTTCACACTCCTGTCCATGCGGTGGCGTTAGATCATCATAATGTCTCAGCCAGCGGACGGAGAAAAAGACGACGACGAAGAAGGTTACGTTAGTTAGCATAACCCTGAAAAGCTACCGTAGCTGTGTGTTGTAAGAGGTATTTGCTTGTTACATATTTAGCGACCCACCAAGAACAAAAACATCCGAGAACATTTCATACCTGCGAACACACCAGACCCCACTTTAGGTATGTTTTCAACCAGCGTTTGATAAGACGAAGCGACAAACGCTAGTTATGAAACCAGCTGACATTAGCCTTCGGCAGCGTCAGGAAACGTAGTTTTGTAAACCAGATAGAAACATGTTGACCTGGCTAAGGCTTTAAGTGAGTTCGGACTGTGTGTAGATAATGTTAATGTTAGCAGTCAGGACATAAAGGGACAGAACGGCCACCGTAGATAACGCAATCAGAGCCAGTTTATTAAGGGTCTTGTCGGTCAAAGCTAGCCAGCTAGCTTGCTAAATTAGCTTTCCTGCCCAGATTACCTCATTTTACGGAGCCCCCGACTCTTAACACAGCTGTCAGGTGTTATTCAGCGTTTTATTTATATTTACAAATACCAATTGAACCTGATTTATGATGTCTGTGACTTTGGCTTGCTGTGTGTCAATGTAATGTGTTGCATTGTCTGCTTGCACTGTCATGCAACTGGCCTTTCTCTATGGTGACACAGGACTGTATTTACGACCTTACTGGACTCGACGTCAGTCTGGGCTTTGTCTTTTAATTTTCTTCTATTCTGTGTCTGCGTTTGCCATAAACAAGATATGATTAGAAAAAACTGGCTTTAGAACAATAGCGTCTATAGTATCTTATAGCACTGGCTATAAATGCTAACGCACACATGTGTTAGCATTTATAGCCCATTTGTTTTCTTTTTCATATTAAAGGTTGGGTATATCTGTGGTACACTTGTCCACAGAAAACTGGGGTTTTAGGATTAGCAATAAATGTGTAACATGTCCTTTTGGTCTGTTTTTTATTTATTTAAAATAGCATGTTGTAAAATGTTTTTGTTTATGTTGTAATATATAGACACAAACGACTCCACTTCTCACTTTTATGTGTCACTTTTCACAGGTTTCATATTCTGAAGGTCACACTTCGGCTGGTACAGTAACGCTGTAGCACTACTGGCAGTCCTGTGACACAAGAAAATAATGTGCTGCAGCTGAAGATGGGTGGGAGCGGCTCCAAGTCCAAAGGATTTTGGCCTTTTTCTGGCTCAGGTAGTACGGACGATCCAACCAAAGACGGAAATGAGCAGTCAATGACGAGAGTTCGAAGTTTCCCAAATGCAACACCTTTCGTGTTTACTAGACGAAGGTAAATATTGCCTCAGCAGCATGTAGACATTTTTCAGGTGTTGTAGCAGACTGATACTGAGCTGTATGTATGTGAATGTGTACTCTAGCTGATATTCTTCTTCTCCACTTAGTTCCAAATAAAAGCAGGCTTTTTGGTTATTCTATACAGTTATTTGGAGAAAGTAGTTTTTAGAACAGAAGTCGAGGATTTGAATATGACAGGCCATCGAGAGACGTAGCGGTACACACTTAACCTGTGTTGTTGATACTGGGCATATTGGAGCCATAAATTCTGGTGGATTGTACCATAAACCAGGATTTGTCAGATCAGGTGATTCATTTTCACGATGTCTTCACTCTGTCTTCATTCCCCTCGTTTTTATCTGACAGGAGTGACCACATCAGGGTTTTTATCGCTGCAGTAGCTGATTTGTTGTTGCCTTCCCTCTTATGCACCACTACATTCTTGTTCTGTACTCCCGATTTTTCAAAACCAGGCATTCAACTCACAGGAAGACAGCTGAAAGCTTTTTCTTTTGCTTGTGTGACTTTCTAATTGACCAACTGTCTTTATTTAACACCAAATACAATATGTGTGAAAATTATTATTTAAAAATGACCCTTATATCTTTTAATATTGTCGTCAAGCTCTAATTTTATTATCTACTGAAGGTTTAATACACACAGGCATACTACTATGTGCGGATAATTAATTCTGTCTCTCTGCCTCAGCTCTATGTTCTTTGATGAAGATGGTGACTTGGCCCATGAGTTCTATGAAGAGACAATTGTGACAAAAAATGGACGTAAAAAAGCCAAGCTGAAGAGGATTCATAAAAACCTAACACCTCAGGTGAGGAAGTTATAATCCCTACACCAGGGCTTTACTCGCCAGCAGTAGTTTTCTGTATTAACAGTCCAAATAATTTGAATCTCTTTTGTGTCCTTCCAGGGAATCATAAAGCTGGACATCCCTTGCATCCATGTAGATTTCCCAGTTGTCCTCTGTGAAGCCTGAAGATGTCTGAGGAGCGTCTCAGACGGTCCACTTCGTCAACTCCGTCCTGTGGTTTCCCCGACAGCTGGAAGCCCGAACCACCTTTTAAAATAACATGATCTCTTGATATATTTGATGCCCTTATGTGGACAGGCTGATGCAGTGTGTGCTGAGCCTCTGCATGTGATCTGTTTTTGGCTTGTGTGCAGTTAGACACAGAAAAGATCACCAATGGAGATCTAGAAGGGTGCCAAGTTGGCCAAACATGCTCAGTTTACAGATCATGGTTTGTGTGCATGTAAGTGTGAATGTGTGTGCAGACACAGGATGAAATGTGTCAGAGTCCTGAATTCATTGCTGCAGATTGTTTTCTGGTATGATTGATTGAACCTCTGGGAGTTTAGTAGAAGTGACCAGTTCTTCCCTCTGTCACAGTCATATCTAGAGTGGGAAAGTTTAAGTGCACACTTAAGTTTTTTGACACCATCTTGAATTGCTTTATTATGCATGGAACAGGATCTGCTTATCAGTAATAACTTAGGAAGTTGACAATCAGTGGGCCACAATATCTAAAGTGGATTAATGTCATATTATAATGTTGGATGGACTGGCTTCAATGACCTTAGAGCCACACATGTACACAGCAGCAGTGAGTCTAGTAAGAGATCCTGTTGTTTCCTTTGCTGCTTTGGCATACTATGTTTCACTTTTAATTTATTATAACTGTTTTTTAATTACAATTTGAAATGCTAAACTGTGTCATGGTACTTTTTTTTCACATCAGTGCATTATAGTTGAACAGCACATATTTTGCATTTACTTTATAAAGAGGGAAGAGGAAATCCATGTACACATTTTACAAAATATGTGTACACTAATGTCAAAATATCAGGATTTTATGTTGCAGGTGAAGACCGTAGCTACATGAGGCCACTGAGCTCCCGTGGGTGACTTACTGGCTGAGTCCAGTAAAAGTAAAACTCAGAGTCCACTTACTATGGGAGTTTTACATTCTCCATCATCATTTACTGCCTATTATGACATGACCAAATACATACCACATATGGTGGGAGATATTTACAGTAACTTTAATGGAAAAGCTAAGAAGATAAAGGAGGAAATCTCTTTTTATTAGTGTCAAATGTGGCTTTATTTAACAATTATTCTGCAAGCTCATAAGAGCCGTTTGTCAAATAATCTTTTATAACGACAGAGAGTTTAGCTTTTTTGGCAAAGGTTGTAAACACTAAAATGAACTAACAGGACCTGTTCACCCATGTAGTGGAAATAATGCTGCTGACCTCCACCTGCGATGAAATTAGCCACCTGCATAGGAAATTGCCAATTGAACTGTGTGTATGCATGTGTTTGTCTGCTAATGAGGGATGGATGAAGTTAAGAGAGAAGTAAAGGCCATCAATGCAGTCTCCATGGGAACGGGTTTTCTACAAAGCTGTCTGTTATATTGTTCTCCATAGAGGATAAAGAGGGCTGTGCCAAAGTCCACTCCACTTTATTGACTTTGTGCTTTTTTTACCTCTGGGCAAGTACCTTTTTCAGCTGAGTCTGAGGGAGATGTGGCAGTACAATTACTTTTTCTTGTTTACTTTCACAAAGCTGTAATAATATAAAAGGCCATGAGGTGAATTTCAGTATCGGGGGTTAAAATAAAAGATTTTACTCAGCAAACCACCCATCCCACTGGCTTTGCTGACAAAAGTCTAGGCATATTTTAAGACATGAAGTCGCAAAGTAAGGTATTCACAGTGACATTTACCATCTTTTACCTTCTAATTAAAAGTGTGTGAATTATTCTACATTTTTACAAAGCTATTGTTTCAACATGTCTGAAAGTTGTGTTTTTTTTGGAAAATCTGAAAAACTTATTCTGCAGGAACTGTCTTCAGAAGATCTATTAGTCATAAGGTCTAAGTGTATTTGAATGATGTTTGATGGTGATCATAGGGCAACAAAGTCAATTGTGTGTGAATACATGCTTTCTCAATAGAAGCACCTTAATGTGTTTTCTTTGCTATAAGTGAAAACCTATCTTTTTTAAGTAATTTACAAACTTTCAGGTACAATGACTTTAGTTAAACAAAGGGTTATCAGTCAGCTATGAGTCATGTTTACCTTATTGCGCCATTAATTTGAAATCCCCTTTTTACCTGATTTCAGCAGCTAAACTTGTTTACAACTAGTCTACAGTGAGAACCTGCCACCATATACTTTATATATACCATATAATAATTTATGAAATTGGATTATAGCAGGTAAACTGTCACTGGTACTCACATGATGCTCACAAGAATGTAGCTACAATGATAAACATAATTTCACTTGTTTTAACACACTCTTTGGTGTGCAAAAATATTCCCAATGCAAGCATTCATGGTATATCCAAAATGTGTGTGTGTGGTTGCAAGCAAACTTTACACTTCGTCTGAGGATCATGAGTAAGCAGCCAGAAATCCTGTTTCAGCTGTGATTTGAATTTTAAATGCTTTCAGATGACTTAGTCATGATGGTAAAATCTATAAAACTCCATGCCTAATACTCACTACTAAAACTGACTCCCTATATGCAAAAGGAAACTAAAGAAATATGCTGAGGTGTTTCGCACTTAGAGGTCAAACAGAGGTGGAGTCTGCTGGATATATAAATACCAGTCAGTGGTGGATTTCAACACAGACGTTGATAATGGAGAGGGATAACAACCTGTATGAATCCAGATACTAAACAACTGCAACGCCTTAACTGAACTACTATTACCTGGACATTAGAGAGGAAACGGTTGCTGGTAAGACACAGTATTTGGACACACCGTTAAATGAGACATTTAAAAATGTTTTATTGTGTTTTTAAGAATTTTAATGTTTGTTGTATCAACACACACCCTTCAGAGTGGGACTACATTTGTTACTATTCAGAGCAAACTTATATTCAAGCCCAAATACATAGTGTGACAGCTGTTAAAGACTGACTCTGTCAGAACAGATGCAAGATACAAATCTGAATCTATATCAAAGCATTTCCAGTACCAACTTTTTAATTCGAAAATAATGCCTATTGTAAGTAAGATGCATGTTTCCTGAAGATTTATGCTAATTATGCTCTAAGCTTATTTTAAGTTAAGTTAAGCAAAATGATTTACAGTTCAACTCAGTCTATGGAATACTTATGGTCACAGAAAATACAAATGAAACATCCAGGGAGGACATTGTCTCTGAAATTGTGTGACACCTGCTATTGCTGAATACCAATTAAGTTGTATAAATAAGCCTAAATGTCCCACTCATTCTGAATGACTGAAACTTTTTACACTGTAACAATTTAAACGGTGCTAAAATAGACTGCACAGTAGGAAAATAAAACTACAGTCGTCACACTTTTCAAAATGTGAATTGGTTTGGTTTTATTAATCAATGAAACCAACTTCCTCAGTCAATTCAGACCAGGGCTTGAGGGATGGACTACTTTGGTCTTTATTCAAGGGGGGGTAAACAGCACTGCGGTGTAGTTTTACCCTTAATTATATGCCAGACGGGGTTAAAATCGTGGTTAAGTGTTCCATTGTCGTCATTTTAAAGAAACTCCCCGTGCTGTATTAACACTAACGGGAAAACAAGGCAGATTATTTTCTGTAATAAATCCGTAACCCCCCTACTCAGGAGCTCAGTACACTGAACTGTTGTTGCTCAACGGACCCCTCACCTCCGCTCCTGCCATGTAACTTCTGTTAGCCCTCTTATGTGGCAAATATATCGATCATCAACATGGATTGAACGGACTGGGTTATGACTTTTCACATGGCAGGGCGTTGGAAAGCCAATTTATCTGACGGTTACATGAGTGGAATAAGCCCCGGTCCGCAGCTTCACTTGAACAGGTCAGCCTGGGACCAACAACGCGTTAACGTTAGCTAACTTAACTTAGCAACCGTTGTCAGTTTCAATGAAGTTACGTTGACGTTAGTCCAAAATAAAAGCTCAAAGTAGATCATTTAGTTTGTTTGTATTGTTTGTTTGTTTTTTGCTTTACATTTCGCTTTAACTAACATTAAACTTACTCACTTAATGTGACTTGTCATGAGTGTTTTCCGAAGCAAAATGATTCATGTAACGTCAATCAAAGAGGAAGTTGTCTGCTATTAATCACAATTGGTAATAGGCAGTTAATACTAATATTAATAATACTAATATACCTTTATACGCTGCTTTAAAGATACTACATTATCTGTGAGCTCATTTTGCTCTTACTAAGACCTCAAACTCTATAAAATATTGCCTCAAAGTCGACCTAAACAGTTCCTATTGTTCTCTTATTTAGCATTTGGGACATCATTAGAAAGAAATTTAAATGCAACAAAACTGCTTTGTTTTTCTTTTGTAGAGAAAGAGGAGAGAAGGTGAGCAGTGACCATGGAGACTGTGTTTCAACCTCTCTTCACCACAGCTGGCCGGCTGTCTTGGCTGCTTCTCACCCTGATCACATCATGGACAGTCTTGTGTTCAGCAGATATGAAGCAGACAAGATGGCCATTATTCTCCCAGAATCCAGTTCTCCTTGCCTGGAACGCTCCGACACAAGACTGCGGTCCGCGATATGGTGTAACTTTATCCTTGGACCAGTTTGACATTGTGGCAACCCCCAATGAAGGCTTTGTCCGGCAGAACCTCACAATTTTCTATAAGGAGCGCCTCGGGTTGTATCCCTATTATGAGCACGATGGCACTGCAATGAATGGAGGCCTTCCACAGCTTGCCAGCCTCGCTCAGCACTTTGAAAAGATGCCTGAAGGTTTGAAGAAATATATACGTGAGCCAGAGGCAAAAGGGTTGTCTGTTATTGACTGGGAGGAGTGGCGCCCACTGTGGATCCGAAACTGGGATGCTAAAGATATCTATAGAAGTAAATCCAAGGAACTGGTGGCCAAAAAGAACCCTAAGTGGACCCCAGAGCAAGTGGGAAAAGTTGCACTGCAGGAATTTGAGCTGTCGGCTCGCAAATTCATGCTGGAGACTCTAAAATTTGCCAAGAATTCGAGGCCCAATCAACTGTGGGGCTTCTACCTGTTTCCAGATTGTTATAACCATGACTACAGGAGCGGCCTGAAGGACTACACAGGCCGCTGTCCTAGTGTGGAGATGGATCGCAACGATCAGCTGAACTGGTTGTGGATGGAGTGTACAGCATTGTTCCCGTCTATATACATGGATTCTGTGCTGAGCTCTACAAATTATGGGCGCCTCTTCGTCCGTAACAGGGTGAAGGAGGCGATGCGCCTGGCTTCTGTCGGGGATGGATTGGCACGTCCTGTTTTCGTTTACACCCGCCCAACTTACATGAGTCAGATGACCCTCCTAACTGAGGTTAGTTGACTAGAGCAACAATTGAAGTACAAGTACAGGAGGCTTGTACGTTCATTATATTAGGATTTCAGTTATTATATTTGGACGATCGGAGGATGCAGTTGCCAGGAGACCACTTATTTCTGGGTGGCAGTTAATGAAATCTCTGAAATTATACACTATACTTGCATTAGCTTAGTGTGGAAGCTTTACATTGCCTTTGTTGGAAATCTGATGTACTAAAAATAATCTTACGTGTGATAATATTTCCCTCGTATGTGTATGTACTGAACTGTTTGTGTAAATGTTTTGCAGACAGATCTCGTCTCCACCATCGGTGAGAGCGTGGCACTTGGAGCTGCAGGTGTAATCTTCTGGGGGGACACCTTGTATGTAAGCAGCAGCGTAAGTGTCAAACCCTCTCTGCTCACTTGATGCTGTGTAGCATGCGGTTCAGTGGTTTGTTGGTAGTTACGTGGTTAACATCCCTTTTTTTTTTTTCCTCAGGCCAGCTGCTCCATCCTAAATGGGTATTGCCAGGGAGCGCTGGGCCGGTACCTGCTCAATGTGTCTACAGCAGCTGAGCAGTGCAGTCAGGTGGTGTGTAAAGCCCACGGCCGCTGTCTGCGAAAAATACCAGACAGCGACGTGTACCTGCATCTCAGCCCCTTAACACACAGCATCACCAGTCAGGGTGGCAAGCTGAAAGTTACAGGCGTGCCTGATCAAGCCGAGCTGGCTCTTTTGCGCAAACACTTCCAGTGCCAATGCTACAGTGGGTACAGGGGTGAGGCCTGTGCCGAGAAAGAAAAAGGGAACAATAAAGCCTCCAGTGTCTTAGGGACCTGGCCGCTTTGCTTTTTACTCCCACTAGGACTCCTCACTCTGCTACACTGAGGAAACTGAGAAACCCAAACTATTCACTGCTTCTGCCAGACCTGAAAAGGACAGCTTGACATAAAGGTGGTAAGTTCCTGTGCATTAGTCGTACTGTACTGACAGCAGCAGAGGGACCGTCCTGTCACCAGAAATCTCCCAGTATGACAGGAGATTTTTATCCAAGCGCACAGACCCATCTGACAGGAATATTTGTGTGTGACAAGCTGCACTGGCGGAGCTCCAACCTCAGGACCACCTCCCCAAACTAATGTCCCCCCATCAGTAATGCAAGCGGTCATTAGCCTAGATCAAATTATGTCAAAAATCACAACTATCTCTTAAAGGCCTGTAACCTCCAGATGAGGAGGTATTGTAATTGTTCGCACAGTACAAAATGCCTTATAACTATGATTGTTTGATTTGTTTTCAAGGTTTTTTATTAATGAACAGAACAACGGGAAAACATGGACAAAAAGTGGAAAATGGGTACAATTGATGCCCAGCCACATACAGTACTGACAAGTTGTTGGTACATGACTTTAGATGTTCTGCAATCGCATATTGCTGCCCATTTCAACATCGTAGTTTGTGTCTGTTGATGGGTCGAGTTGATACATGTTATGACATACAGCCTCATGAATTAAATATAAAAAGTGCATTATCCCAGAAGGTGATCAATAAGGACAAACTGAGTCTTACATTTCTTTGGTTATCTTTGGCTTATAGAAACAACACGGCTGGACCTGTTTCAGTTCAAAAGTGTGCCTTGGGCTACAAAGTGCTCTTTTTTTAATGGTTGCCTTCGTTTACAAGTTGTGATTGTTGAGGTTTTCATCTCAGCCCTCTGTTGGGCACAGTGCTTTATACTGATATTAATTATATGCCTACCAGTTGTTTTTTTAATGATCAGGACTGTGTATATAAAAAGGAATGGGTGGAAAGACCTGTAAAGATAAATGTTCCTAATTGTTTGCAAATGGTTTCTTCTAATTCACATGGACAAATTTCAGCAGGTAATATAGCTTTTGTTAATTTTTTTGATGAGAAAACAGACAGGTTTATCACACTGTAGCAGTACAAATACACAATTAGAGTCTAATCATGGCCGATTTAAGCTTGTCCCAGATGTATTGGTATTGGCGTATCCGTCGGCTGATAGGTAACAAGAAATCTTTTTACAGAGATGCCAAAATTAGGTTAATTTTTCATTTATGTAATATTATGCTCATTCTGTTTCTTGCCCACAATTCTGTAATAACCAAATATATGTTTGTGTTTATTCTAAAAGATATTTGGCTGGTGTACTGCTATCAGAGTTTTATAAAACTTTCAAATATCTATATCAGCCTCACAAATCCAATATTAGTCGGGCTCTGTACATAATTATTTGTTTTGATTTTCTGTTTTTTAGCGTGTAGTTTGACTTGTTTGCACAGCAGTTGGTGTCAGGACTCCTGCCATTAACACTGCGTAGATATCAACTACTGTAGCTACATCATATTAGGCAATTGCCAAGTAATTATATTTGCTAAACTGAAGCTAGCTTTCGTATTCATAAAGTAGCTTCTGTTTTTATGCTGTATGGCGTTGCTCAAAAACGTATTCAGCTGCCTAAAATGAGTTGTGATACAAGTAGGAAACTGGTAGGTTGTGCTGTTTTTTTCAGACTGAAAAAATTGAGAATCTCCCAAAGAGTATTGCTTTACACCATTTTGCGTACGCTGCAAACTTTAGAAAATACTGCACTTTAACTACCTTATCGTTGAGGTGGATCTGGTTTTATTTTGTGTCAGTAAGGAGGGAAATTATGTTCTGTTGCCTGATACCGTCAGTGCATTACAGTATAATGTGGCCAAGTGCTTGTTTTTTTTTCCATTCAGTGTCATGTTAGAGATATGTTCCACTGTGAATCTTCTAAAAGGAAATGGGTGCTTCTATAATACCTCCCTTGGGTTTCAACTCAGTTGCATTGTAAGAATAATCTAAGGTTTTTTTTTTGTCACTATCTTTAAATGTGATGTTGATGTGACTCCTGAACATATTAATCAGATTTATAAAACCAGCTCTGACACCATAACACTTGAATTATGTGGCATAAAATGGGAAGATGTCACCTATAATTAAATGCCCCATTGTACTATTAGTTAATGCCAGGGATCACTATTTAAGTTTCAGTAGAAAGCTATAAACCAGCTGTTTTTGCAGTTTTAGCCTTTTTACATCAAGCACCATATATACTGCCAACCATTGTTGAAGGCACACTACAATGTTTCAAATGTGTGAAGTCATTGTTTTTAATTTATTGCACAACAGTATGAATATCAATGTTAGTGACTTTGAACTTGTTTGAGATGAGTAATTATCAATTATCGTTATCAGTCATTGTTAAATTTGAATGTCTACTCTTCTTTTACGTCTCCTAAATTGCATTACGCATTTTTTATTATAACTTAAATTCACATCATTATATGATATGTGCTGTGATGGATTACTGTACTCAAGCATGTTTTCAGTCTCTGAGAAATTGTCTTTTATACCATTCATTGAAATCAGTGAAAATCTGCGGCTGCCTGGAGGGTAAAATTATGAAAAATCTAAAACTTTTATTGTCTCATAGCTTTACCTCTCCATTTTAGAGACAGCTTAAGTGAAATTACCTTAATTTACAAGCCTTATTCTGCCTAAATATAATGACGTTATTGTTTGAAACCAAAGGGTTTTGTATTTGAAAACAATTCACATTCACTTTTTTCACCAAAGAATTTAATTATTTAAAACATAATGTATTTTTCAGTTTTTGTTATTTTTCTGGGGACTGTTAGTCTACTGGGATTCTGACCATTTAACAATACAGTTTTACGCTTTGTGCAAAAAATATTAAAATAATTTAAAAAGATGTCAATGGAAGTGCTGTATTTGTATCATATATATACTAACTTATACTGTTTTTTGGCTACAGAGAAAACATGATAGAAACTATTAAAAGCTCATGTCAAATCAAGAAAAAAAATGTCATGATGCTTGAAATGTGAACTTGTGTCCGAAGTTTTAAGGTATCTAGTCCAGTTAAATACTAAAAGTTGCATTAAATACAAAGAAGTTTGGGTTATGCTGATAATTATTTGGTATGAACGTGGTACTTTCATTAAATCATAAGCCTGTTGGCAATGTAGAACTTATTTGAGGAGTAGTATCTAGAGTATCTAAACCCAAACATTATCACAGGATAACATACGCGTTATTTTAAAACAAAAACAGATATATATAGTTATATAGTTATATATATATAGTTATATGTTTGTGTGACAGCCACAGCCGGAAATGACGTACTGGTGCTGAACCATATTATAGTGCTGCGCGTTGTTGTGTGCAGCTCCTAACATGCTCCGACGAGGAACAGGCGATTAAAGTGAGACCGGGGTACATTTGATTACATGTTCATCCGAGTGATTGGACATTTTCCATCCAATGAACGTTGAATGTGAGCGTCGTTTTGTTGTTAGTGAAACATGTCTAGCTACCGTCAGGCTAACTGCACAATTTCTCCTCTCAGCTTGAAAAGCTAGCTACCCAGCAGCAGCAGCATCCACCACCCGAAGCCTCTCGGCAACATTTCCCATCACTGGCAACCAGCAATGCAGGAGACATGACGATAAAGCCGACAGCCTCGTCCTTCTGTCAGTGAATGAACAAGTATCCCCTCTGTGTTGGTATGTTTGCCTCTGGTGTTGCCATCCTTAGTGCTTCTCGCTTCACTGTAACACACAGCTGGTAGAAGAGCGACACATCAAGCTATTGTTAGCTTTCCCGCAGATTTTGGTTGAAATTTCTTTCGCCAATTCACGTTTTTTTTTTTTCGTCTTTCAGATCACGTTACTTGGGTTTTTTCGGAATTGTTTCCCTGCACAGCCACTTCTAGTCCTGACATACTGACATGGTTAACATTATCAACGTTGTGTAGTACAGTTTAAAGCATTGTGAGCTTGAGACATTGCGAGTCTATGCTTGGATTTACATGCTGTGTGGGCAGATTTGAAGGAATTTAATTAACATATTTCAAGACAAGACTGTTAGTGAAGTGCTTTAACCTTAGGGCAAATATTGTGATTGAAGTTATCATTCCTGTGTGTTATGACAGAATTTATCTCATCAAGACACCTGCTGCTGCATTTGTGTACACCCAGTTGTGTTCCTGTAAAGCAGTTTGTGAGATAGGAATGATGGTTAAAAAACTATGAAAACAAATGTAGAAACCAAAGATTGTAAAGATAAAGCCATAGGCTGATCCACAATGGTCTTTTATGGTTGGAGGGTGTACACTCTTAAATTACTACATGATGGTCTCTCAGACAATGCACTGTCTACTGCTTTTCCTAGATCGTTCATCTTGGTGAAATGAATTTCTTGCGCAATCGTCTTGTTGTTCTGGGCCTGGTGTTGTTGGCTACGTTACTGCTGTACCTGCTGCTGCCATCCATTCGCCAGGGCAGCATGGAGCCGTCTCTTGAAGCTCAAAGAATGGGACTGATGGCCACCCTTCCTCCGCCGCTGCCAACCATCAATGTCTCCATTCGCACTGGACAGCTACCCGGGGACCCTCCGCTGTTCTTCAGAGAAGCTTTACCTGTTGATGGAGCTGGACGTCAGATATTGCCAAGGTGAGTTGACACCAATGTAGTACATTTTGGGAGAGAATGTGCTTTTTTCCTTTTTCCAAACCAGTATGCTGAGGATGGACAGTTGATGGTGCTGGTGTGCTGCTAAACTGCAGCTCCAGCATGCTATATTTGCCAGGCCTGTCCTAGTTATAGAAACCTGAGAAACTGACTGTTGAGAAGCCACAGGAAAACAAAATACATTTATTTATTTATTTTTTTTTTTTTAACAGGCTGCAAGTGGTCCTTCTGCATGGCCAGGCCTTCACATCCAAAACCTGGGAAGAACTCGGTACAATGGCACTGCTGGCAACTAATGGATATCAAGCCTTGGCGATGGACCTGCCAGGTAGGCACATAATAAGCGCAAATGTATGAAATCACTGGTTTATACACAATAATTTCATCATGGCGTGTGTGGTCTGGTACACATATTAATGTGGCTGAGGTTGCAACCAGCCCTCTATCTCTCATCTGCAAAGCATTTTTATTTTTAAGATTTTTAGAGTTGTTTCATATCCAAAAGAAAAACAATTCTATTTAAAAAAGTATATTTCGTTTGGAGCAAAATAATGTCAGAGGTGTCCACAAATGCATGCAAACAGTTGATAAGAAGAGCGCCTGTTTTGGGGCTTTATTTATTGTTTGGAATGCGAACAAAGAAGATATAATGATGATAAAAAATGTATAGAAACAACTATTTGCCTTTTTTTGTGAAGTAATGGAATTACTTGGCAAGTAATGGAAATATTTTCAGAATATTGCGTTTATGTGTAGTTCCTGTAGTCCCTGCCTAATCTGTAGTTGTTTTCTCACATAGATAAGGTCCGAACAGGAAATGTGAGATGCTAATTTCCCATTGCTAAAATTTAAAAACAAACAATTTACAACAAACAATTTTTTTTGTGTTATTTAATTTAGTATTACATTAAAACTGATGTGTTATCATTGTGCCGGGTAAAGACACTGGGTTTGCAGCAGAACTTTTCACTTTTCACTTTTCGCTGGGTTGCCATGTGTGCCCTGCTGTTTGGTACACATGCCTTTTTATTTACTTGCAACAAAAGGATTAAATCTGGGGTTAACACAAGCAGCAGTTATTACATGTTTGGTGACCTCAGGCATTCCCCAGCACTACTCCACCCCACATCAGTATAATAAGAGGTCTAATCAGCATGTGTGTCTGTTCTTACACATATTCTTCTTCTTCTTGAAGGGTATGGAAAATCTCCGGACTCAGAGGCTCTGAAGACCGACCAGAATCGAGTGGACCTCCTTTCAAGGTTCATGGAGTCTTTAGGTGTAAGAGCAGCTGTGCTTTTGAGCCCCTCCATGAGTGGACATTACTCCATCCCATTCCTCATGAAGAACAACGCTCAGCTACATGGCTTCATCCCCATAGCGCCAGTGGGTACCCGAAGTTACACTCCACAGCAGTACCAAGATGTCCAGGTGAGGGAGATAAAGGTTGTGATGTGTCTGTGGTGATTAATATATTCAAATGGAAGCAACAGCTATGATGGCGTAGATCCATTAATTGTGTTTTATGTGAGTAAACAAACTGGTGACATTAGGGAACTATGCCTTTTTTTAAAAAGGTGGATACACACCACTGAGGCATCACCAGATTAACCCACTAGAGGGCCCTCTGACATAAATGAACTGCAGGTCTTCATATACAACATGTCTCTTCAAATACCCAGTACACGTTTTATTTTATATACAGTACAGCACTATGCACTAGTCTTGCTTTTCATCAATGCATGTTTTATGGCTTTATAATCTGCCATTTACTTTTTTGATTAATCTTTCATATAGATCATATATTTTTGTTGTGACATCATAATGGCATTTTACTTCACTAGTATTTTAGGAGGCTTCCTGTATCTTTACACAGCTGTATTCTGATAATGGTGTTTGCATGTGTGACAGCATTTTACACGGTATAGTCTCATAGTATTGACTCCTGTGTGCTTTCTACAGACTCCCACTCTGATTGTGTTTGGAGCCCTGGACACAAATCTGGGTGCCCAGTCCCACAAGAACCTCATTCAACTTCCACATCACTCTGTGCTAAAGTTAGAAGGAGCTCGCCATGCCTGCTACATGGACAAACCCAGAGAATTTCACCAAGGATTGATCGACTTCCTCAGCAAACTGAAGTGAGATGTGTGGAGGAGGAAGAGGAGGGAGAAAATGGAAACAAAAGAAAGAAGAGGAAAAAATAGACAGAGTAACACTAGTCCTCTGATAAGAGGTTTAGTATGGCGACAATTTTGCCAGAAGGCACTAAGATCAGCATTATTCATATATCATTATCACCTGAAGCAAAGAACTTTGGCATGGGAGTAGGTTTTAATACCTGGAAAATGGTATGTAAAATATTGTAGTGAGGGTTAACAATACAGTATTTCAGATGTTTCCATTACAGAAGTACTATTTTTTCAATTTCCCATAGTGTCACCCAAAAATATGAGAGCTTGTTTTAAAAATAGCTTCAGACTTGTGTAGTGGTGTTTCATGTGTTTCATGTCTCTCTTTGCATGTAAAAACATGGAATGTGTTTGCTTCACTGTTACCATTTGTAGGTGACATGTAGGTTACTGTAAATATGCAAATGTAGCAGCTGCCTCTGTTTAAATAGCTCCTGTCACTTCACATTTGACCAACAGATTTGTATATTAAGATCTAATTACCATTCCAGCTTCCAAGAAAACACATGCTGTTCTAAAAAGAGTTGATGCATACTGTAATGTAAATGTATAAAAGAATATGGACCATTTAAAATGATAAAAAAAAGTGCTCTCACTGATGATATGTAATATATTTGCAATAAGTTTGGACAATCATTCAAAAAACAAACTTAAAGATATATGCATAGCTTAAAATAAAAACAAAAATTGTGTGTTTTGTATGTTTCAGTTGATAAAATGCCATGTTTTGGGAACTGAAGGTAATTTTCATGTATTTATCCTATATATGCAAGGCTATTGCTGGCTTTTAATAACTTCTTGCAAGTTTCTGACACCACTCTTTACATCCATCATTTGCATTTTTTGCAAATGTTGAAAATTGGCTGTAATTGTTGCTTGTTCTGAAAACAAATGTTTACCTAAGTGCTGTACCTTTATAAGGTATGTATATAATCTTTTAATTAGAAGGTATTTGTTGTTTTATCAAGTATTTGCATTTAAAGCTACTTTATGCCTTAGTGCCACTACATTTGAGGCAAATATTGCAGCAATAGCAATAATATACTGTGGTACACATATTTGCTATAGTTGCTAGTTACGTTGCATGTAAGTTTTTACGTGCAAAAATATGAATATTTAATATGTTGCGTTGTTGTAGGTAACACTAGTCAAAAGTATAAAGTTAAACTGATATGACCCTTTACATTAAACTGCTGCTTAAATAACTGTTAAGTACTATAGTAACACTCTGAAAGACACCAAACTGCAGCAGTACTTTTACTTGAATGCAGAACTCTAATGGGCACTTTTAAATTGTGCTTTTGCTACTTTTTTAAGTAAAGGATATGAATACCCTCTTCCAACCTTAGGGCTGCACAGTGGTTGACTGTTACATAATTGGAAGAGTAAGTAGGAAATGAGTTGCAAATGCACACCCCTTATAGTACTGATCATGGTACTGATGTTGTAAAGATTAAGTA